AACCCCATGGTTTTTTTCCACAAAAAAAAAAAAAAAAAAAAAAAAAGGCAAAGAAAAAAGTTTGGCTGGGGCAAAATAACCCCCACAGAGAAAGAGACCAAACGGGCGTTTTCTAGCAGAAGACAAAGGGATTTGATACACGAAAGCAGCACCCAGATGTACAGGCACGGCCACAGCGCCAAGATGCTGCCCCGCACCCGCAGCACCCAGATGATATTTTTAGGAGGCTTCCTGGTAAGTACCCATCAATGACCAAAGGTTTCAGTCTTCGTTTTGGCACTTTCAGAACCCCTCCTGTGTCCAGTTCAGAATTTTCCAGCCACAACTACACCCCTAAATACCTTCTGACAAGCAGCAAACAATATTGGGGTGGGGGTGCCAGTGCTGGCTGATATCGTACACATCCAGTCAAAGAAAAAAACCCCAAACTGCCTGCCTAGTCTAAACTCTTCATGGCAAACGTCTGGAGTTAAACCTGCCTACTCTGTCCTTAGTTCACCCTGTGCTTGTTCGGCAGATGCAACTCTGCTGCTCTCTGACAAGGCGGATGAAGGGAAGAGGAATAATGCCGCTGCCATCAGACAGGCACTCGAGGCGCCGCAGACGAGAAATTTAACATCAGAAATCAGGCACTGAGAGGGAAAAGGGACAATAAGTTCCATAAAAATAATTCAATAAAACAAGTGATATATTCTCTTTCCTCCCAAACACCCAATTCTTTATTTTTTTTTTAAGCAGAACTGCTTAAACACTCCCTGAACACGCAGCAGCTGGGATGGCACCTCGCTGCTCGAGCTGCCCGGGGGCACAGAAACATTTCAGAACCCCTAGGAAACCAGCACCAGAAAAGAATATATCTGAAACATGGGTTTTTTTCTGCATTTTTTTTTTTTACAATTTTTTGACATCAAAACCTTTCCTGAATTTCCTTGCATGTAGAAATCCTTAAAGATTAACAATTTTTTTTTCACCATTTCATGCCTGGGTTACTTTTTAAGGCACAGCGAGCTGTGGGGTGGTTGGATATGAAGAACACAGCTGCAGACCTAACCACAGACCTCTGCATCACACCCAGCACCGAAAAACATCCCTCAAACCTGCCCAGCCCCTGTCCAAACCAGCGGCGTGACCCAGTCCCTGGCATCCCGCTCACCAGGGCAAGAATACGGCCAAAAACTACCCAGAGGTGGCTAGACAGAAGGCAGGTTGTGAAAGCTGGTAAAACACTAGGACCAAAAATAAGCCTACTTTTTATAAACGTGCAGAGAAAAAATGCTGCTCCTGTCTACGCTGTAAGTTATTTATACTACAGATTGGTGGGTTGTATGGTGGGGTCCACATATAAGATTTTACACGCTACTAACTCCAGGACACTGAACTTTCAAAGCAACACAACTCCAGCCACACCAAGGCTTTTCAAACGGTAACTTTTGTATTAGTAAAGCAATTGCATCCCAAGCAGGTCAGCTAGACTGAGGCAACTTTCAAGTAGCTGAAGGGCTGTCCAAGGAGGAAACCAACTTCTACCCTGCTTTTGAAGTCGCATGAAAGGAGTGATGTAAACCAGCTGTCCACAGAAAGATCACAAGGCAACGCTGTTTTCTGGGTGGTAATATTGCCACATATTTCTTTGCTTTGACATGTTGCTGCTTTTCTGAAAATAATGAAAATGTCCAATTCAAAAAAAAAAAAAAAGCCAAAAAGCTGAAGGCGGGAGGTCAATACAGAGAAGGACATAATTCTGTGATGTCTCACAAGTTTCCACATTTGAGCAAGAAACCGCAGTATTGCTCCTCTCCTCTCTTTAGGGATACTGGAAACACAAACCAGCAATGGGATGGTAACCACCAAAGCAAGTTAACCAGGCACTATCCGGCGTGTCGTGGGAACAAACAACCCCCCCACCACCGAACTTCCAGCCCCAGACAGATCACCTCGGGGTGTATTTCACCCCGAGAACAGCTGCCAGCTGGGGGCTGAATTCACTGAGCTGGGAGTGGTACGAGTCCTCTGTCCCAGGAGTGTTGGAACTGGTATAAAAAAAAAAAAAAAAGGGCACAGGGAGGAAAAGTACAGGCATGGCACTGGGGCTGTGTACGGGACTCGGCATCACCCACCTGCTCAGAGGGTAAACAGGCTGCTAGGAAAAAGTTATCCACTTAAACGTGTCAGCACTTTAAAAGGCTGGCACTATAGCATTTCACCTGGAGAAGACCCGACCTGGGCTAGTGGGAGGTGTCCCTGCCCATGGCAGGGGGCTGGCACTGATGGTCTTTAAGGTCCCTTCCAACCCAAACCACCCTGTGACTCTATGGTTCCAAGATCCAGCAGCTCTGTCCTGTGCCAGACACCCAGCACGGCCCCAGAGAGCACAGACGGTGGCTTCCCAGTGCATCAGGTCTGTCCCCTGGCTCCAAGGCAGGTTCAACTTGAACCGTTCTCTGGAGATGTCCACAAACCTCTGCCTTTAAATCTCCAGTGAGACAGCCTCCCTGGGCAATCCCCTTGAGCTCTGCACTACAGTTAGAAGTGTTTTCCCAATGGTTAATTCAAATTTCACCTGCCTCACAGCCTGCACCCATCATTTCTTGTCCCAACAAAGACGGAGAACAGTGCAGTGCTTTCTCATTTTCACCATGCTTTAAGTGATGCTAGTATACCTTTCTTGAAGAAAAAATTAAGAAAAAAAAGAGACAGTCTCTTGATGTATCCCTGCTACCTAAAAGCATCGAGTTACCTGGCATGATTTAATGAAAAGTTGAGAAAGTTGCAAAATGTCCGTGGAAGCTAAGGAAGGGCATACGAAAGGAGCTTGCACATTCTTAAGGACTTACCAGAGAGCCTGCAACTTCCCTAAGGAGATTAATAAAATCCATGTTAGCCCACAGGCAGAGCCCTAGGCAGGGTGACGGAAAACAGGAACATGTCCCTTAGGACACGGTGCGAACGTGGGCTCTGGGAGGAGCATCCTCCGCAGACCCCAGCCTCCCCGCTCCGAACCAGCTTGCTTTACCTGGAGCGTTGTGTGCATAGAGAGGAAGAAAAGGTCTTTGCCGCCAGATGTTATCATCTAACTATTGCTTTTCATCTTGTTACCCTTCACCGTTTATCAGGAAACGAAACGTCACGTGAAACGAGCTGTACTGCAAGATGGCCACGAGCCACAGCTGCACCTCCCCAGACCTACCAAAAACTTGGAAATGTAACAGGCTTCGCAGGGGGTCACAAGCTTCTGAGACAGAAGAGTATACGATGGTTTTCCTTCTGTACGCAAGACTGAAACACCTCATTGCTTACAGGCATAATGGAAATATCGTGTATTTATACCTGAGGGCAGAAAGGGATTCACCCCAAAAAAAGGACAAAAAAACAGCACAGAGGGAGGGAAGGTGATTCTGAAGATGAGAACTAAAATTATCATCTGCAAACAAAAAAACAGTTGTAAAGACCTTTTATGGGTAAAATGTTAAAGAACTAACAGAGATTTATGTTTACTTATCCTTTTCCTTCTAAGAGAGAAAAAAAGTTCAGCAAAGCAGCCTGGGGAGTTATGAAGAGGAAGGAGGTATATTTTGTGATAAGCCTCAAACAATGTTCCTGTTGAGTGCAGGCACTGAGCTGGAAAAAAATAAAACCTCTGATAAAGCAAGAAATTCTGCAGAGACAGCACTGGCTCCCATAGGCGAGACGGGAATTAAAAAGACCCATGTGCACACACACACACACGCTGGCCCGGACAGAGACAGGAGGCATTATCTATAGACTTTTATCCCCATTTAACAAACAGGGCCTGTACTGTTCCCTAAGAAAAGTTGATTTTCCCAAAACTCGCAAAAAAAAGCACCCAGTAAGGGTTATCTGCGTGGGTTAGTTAATCAGATGGGTCTGGGAAAAAATATCTGCGTTTGAGAGGATTTTAAATGTGCATGAAGAAAACAAGCAAAAACACCAGAAAATTGCTTCACCTTCCCATTTTTATCTTCTTCTCACACGCAGCGGACAGCCGTGTGTGGTGGTGTCAGCTGAGAGCCCCGACATCCCTCTGCGCCACGCGGTGGCTGCAGCCCTGCCTGACCCGGGTGTCCCTGCGTGGCCCTGGGGACGCGACCAGGCTGCTCCGTACCGACGCTGGGAGAAGGACAATGCCCAGGGGCAGTTCGTGAAAGAATGAGAATTCCTGGGGGTTGGTTTGCACGTGCAGATACTAACCAATGGCCATGACCAGCCACTGGTTACAGAAAAGACTCCCCAGAGCCACAGCACCAACATTTTCATCCCTGTAGGCTTGCCAGCTCTGCAGTCCCCAAGGCAGAGGCTGCACAGACCCTGGGTGGTATATGTTGGGTTCCAGTAACATGAAATCAAGTGTAACTTCGGCGAGGCAAATGCGAAATCTCACAAATAAAATGCACAAAGCACTCAGCCCTTTGCAAAGCATGACCTGGAAATATCACCCAAGCACGCAAGAGAACAAAGATGCTTGTAAAGCACTTCTGCGAGATGCTTGGGTTGGGACTCCGGGGCTTTGTCCCCAGTTCCCAGATTCTGCTCGCACTGCACCCCGCCTTGAAAAGAAAACGGAAACGTACTCACCCTTCGCAAGCTGCACGAAGCCAAGAATGATGATCAGAGCCAGGGCCAGCAGCTTCGCCGCAGCGAAGGCATCCTGAACACGAGTAGCAGCTTTCACGCTGTAGCAGTTCACTGCCGTGAGGAGTACTACGGGAGAAGAGCAGACACATCAGTTTGCAGTGAAACACTTAGGGGGAAAAAAAAAAAAGAAAAAAACCCAGAAAAAAAACCTATGATAAAACGGCATTTGCTTTTTGCTAAAAGTTCAGCAACCGCAAAGAATCTCTTCCCAAAATAGCAACTTTTCCAAAGCAAGGCTGCAGCCGTACACTTCTCCATTCTCTTGCATTTTGGTGTGAAGAGCACACACGCTCCTTGGGCGAGGAGCTGCCCGGCCGCACCGCAAAGGACACGTCGGAGGGCATGTAAATCAAAGCTGTTACTCCAACCATCAGCATCAAAGTTCTCGGCTGCGATCCCTCTTAAGTTGATCCAGTGTAATTCTGCAGGTGTGTGAAAACACCGCGGAAAGGTCAGGACAAGCCTCCCGAGCTGATATATGGTTATTTGCAGAACAACAGCACCTAAAGGGCCACGGTGGCCACGCCGTGCTGCCGCTGCACAAAGAGATGTCCTTGTCCTGACCTGAGCCAAACAATGCCCGCGGGTCAGCGGCACAGACGGGACGAGAAGCAGGATCTAAGGAAAACCTCCTCCTCTGCTCGACCCGCTCGCGCAGCGGTGCCCGGGACGGTCCTGCCACCGACACCGCTCAGGTTTGCTGTGGCTGCTCCTGTACTCGACCACGCTGCCTCCCCGCTTTCCTTGCTGAGATGCTCCCGTTACCTACAAGTTGCTCTGTGATGAATGCAACCAACGAAGCCCAATTTCCTCCTTCTTTTTGCCCCGTCGCCCTCCCCTGCATCGCCTGCTCCTGCGTGGCACTCCTGCCAGGCGAGGGGCAGCAGGAACCAGGGCTTATCTAAAGCCAGGAAGCTGCTGACCGGCCGAGATTCACCCGCTTCAGCGAAAATAAGAGCTGAAACCTTGACTGCTCTTCCAAATCACTTACTATTTTCATGCCCTGCTCGCTCCCCAGAGCCTGTTGCTCGTTATAGAGACGTGCAAATGTCATGCAGAGAGTGACAGTGCCCCACGTGGTAGATGCTGTCCCCTCCTCGTCCCCCCAGCCCCGAGCCACCCCTCATTGTCCCCAGCCAGCTGGGTCACCAGCCCCTGGATGGCTGGTCCCCGAGCAGCTCGGGAAGGGGCAGATCCTCGTGGCAAAGGCTCTTTCCCACATCCTGCAGCTCATTTCACAGGACCTCGCCACTGCCTCGACCGGAGCCAAGCTGCTGCTCCCCAAAATATTCTGCTGGGATGCACGTCATCCTCTCCTGAGGTCACGGGCTGTATCTGCACTCGCAGTTTCAAGCCCAGAGCATTTGATGGAGATATTTCAGCCCTAATCAAAGCCCCAGTGATACGAGGGGGCTCAGACATACCCACGGGCTGGCTCCTGCTCTGTTTTCAGAGACCACAGCATCTGCACCTGACAGCAACAACGACGCTTCACATTCTGAGCGACAGGACTTCCCGGTGACTCAGAGCACACGCAAGCAAGAAGGGAGAGGAGTTGCATCATTCCTTTGTGGGGGTCTGGGAGCTGCTGCAGCCACGGAACAACAGCAGCATGCATCAGGCTGAGCAGATTTAGGTGTCCATACACTGCAGGGAAGAGCAAAGCCCATCCCGCTGCAGCACACTGCATGTCCCAAGAGACGACGCTTGCTTTCAGCATCCTCGTCTCCCCCCCTGCCACCACCAAAACTCTAGGATCTAGTGTCAGCTCAATGCAAGAGCATTTAAAGTTTGGAGAAATGAAAGAGTTAAAAGTCTTTGCAAAAAAAGAAACGCACGTGATCCAATACAGCCTACAAGAATGAAAGCAAGAAGTAAATAAGGAATTTGAGATTCACTTTTTTGGTCACGTTTTCCAAGCCCATTTGGCACTTTGGGGGTGTCAGGGCACTTGGAGTGGGTGACACCGAGACGCCCCAGGGCTGTTTTCTTTGGAAGGACACCCCAGCACAGGTCACAGGACAGCACGAGCCGGGCTTTGGCTGACCTGCTTCAGCACGTGGCCGAAAGCAAGCAGCGAGGAACCGTGCCGCCCACCTCTCCCAAATGTCACCTCCCGTCCCAGGGCTCCCCCACCCCGAGCTGTTCGGGGGAGATAACGGTGCAGACACGGCGTGCCCCGGCGGGGAGGCTTTTCAGCATCGCCAGCGTATGGGCGGTTTGCGGAGTCACAGCTCTGTCACCCTGCAGCAAGATGGCAATAGATCTGCTCCAAGCCCTGGGCTAGAAGGGACACTGCCCAGATATACCGGGAGGAGAAAATAAAGGTTAGCAAGGTCAACTTACAGCATGCCTGTGCTCCAGGAGGGGGTGAGGGGGAGAGAAGCCATCACCGAGCACAGGTCACAATTCATCCGCTAACAGCACCTCTGGTGAATCCCCACGGGGAGGGAACCGCCGATGCAGGATTCACTTCGACCAGCGATGATGCTAAAAATAAACCTCTCCCTGTTTACAGAGGGATATTTAAAGGATGAGCTAACGCCTCTAAAAGCACCCTTTTCCCGTTAGTGAAGACACCCCCAGAGGTGTGACAGTGACATTCCCTGTCCCATCAGGCACTCTGGTTCCCTGACAATAGCTGCTGCAGCCTCCGCATTAAATACTGATTTTCTCGGGGCAGTTTTTCACGCTCTGGTTCTGTCTGGAGTCTGCTGGACGGACCGCGGGACGGCGGTGCTGTACATAAAAGGCAAAAGCTTTCCACACAGTCCAAAACTGAAAAGCAACGGAAGCGGCTGGATTCAGCCCTTCAAAACATATCGGCGCCAGATAAACAGGCGCTGGAAAAATAAGAAAACACTTCGGGCCAGAGAGGCTGAGCAGGGCTGAGAGCTTCGTCGGCGCCAGTCGTGACTCAGAGCCCGTCATGACACAACCTCACTGGTTTGCTTTTCCCACCATGCAATAATATTTGTCTTTCCTAAAGGAGCGTGGTGGAGTTCCTACACTTCCATGCTTTCAACATAGGAAGGGCTAAAAAAAACCCCAACAACCCCGTCTCACCCACCAGAAAAAATCCTGCAGTCACCAGGATGAAAGACAGACCAAGGATTTTTTCGGTAAAACTCCAAGAGAAATTCCAGTGGCTGCTCAGCTTCTCAAGAGACCAGAGGACTTGGGTTTCTTAAAGCGGAAAGTTTGATTCCTTTGATGGGAGATGCTCCCCTGTGAACCGGGGGCTGCGGGACTCCTCCTG